CCACCAGCACATGACCCTCCCTCCCCAGGGGTCACAACCACCACAAATAAATCCTCAATGTGTGGGAAACTATCAATGACAGAAATGCAGTAGCAGATCCCACAACAGGACGTTCCTGATACACCTTAGGTTAAGAAATAAAGACAGCAACGCTCTGTTCTAATCTCTTTGAGAACAATACACACGTGTTTACAATTCGCAGGAACCAGAGTCCACATGTCTAAGCCCTAGAATCCAGCTGTGAAAACAGGTAAATCATCGCTGCATATGGCAAGCAGATATAAATCTCGGTAAAGCAGCTTCTCTGACAGCAACGTCTGTCATTTGTGTAAATGATGACTGCCCTCATGTGGAAGAAATAACATTCTCACTCCTACCATAAGCAGAGACCTGAGTTTTTAGTAATAGACATACCCTAAAACCACACATAAGGTCCTACAAAGGGTTCTACAAAGCAATTTACAAAAGAAGAGTCTGTTGTGTGGCGTGTATCCCTTAGGAATCACACTTAGCATAACAAGAGGGTTACACCCCCCCTTCAGAAAATCCTGTTAGTCTTCGCCCCAACTTTTAAAATCGTTTTATTATTTTATTGTTTTTAAACCACAAACAGTGTGTTTAAACACTACTGTTTGTGTGAGAATGTTAATTGAGTTGCTAATGTGGCTCTGATATACTCCAAACAAACCAAGGATGAGTAGCGGACACGGACAGCCTGCCTTTGCGGTTCTGTAGTACATGTTGGCGTCCGTGGACCAGTTGTGGATGCAGAAGTGTTCCCCGCCTGCACACTTGAATAACAGCTCACTGAATGAGCAAGCAACAGTTCATAAAACATAAAACGCCAAAAGCAGTAGTTAAATTGAAGGTCTTTCTTTGGAAAGGGGATAAAAAGAAAGGAAATGTGAGTTGGTTGATTAGAAGGCCCTTCTGTAATCTAGCCCAGGATCTTGAGCTGGGGTTGAATGGAGAGATGAAGGAGAATAAAGAAATGGCATTTATATTAAAAGTTTGATTGATCGACTGTCTTAAAAGGTGAGCGTTAAGTATGGATACACAACGGTAAGAAGTTCTTGAAGGATCGTAAAAAAGGGGATTACAAACAGTGACAGTGTGAGAGAGTAGAACTAAAGCCCATCTAATCTCAGGGATAACCAATACTCATAAAGATTACTACACAATAGACTCAAATAAAAAAAGCAAACACATTCCTTGACAGTGCTCTTGCATACAAGTATCGACTTCTGAAAGAGAGTTTTATATTGTTTAATTAATTGTGTAAGTTTGTTGATGATGAAATGACCAATGCCATAGATTGGTCCTATTCTTCTTCGAAGAAAAAAACATGTGGGGGAGGATCTTTGATTTTACATCTGCTTACAGTCTTAAATTGCCTTGTTATTCCATCAAATAATGTTTTACAAAAGCTGACAACAGTTAGCTCAATTTGCCTGAATTATTCAGACCTTTTCTGTATGTGTCTGTCTGTACAGTGTTGGGGGCACAGCCTTTCAATGAGTGTTTTCCCCTAATTCCCTTTTAGACCCTTAAGATACTGTGGTGGAGTACACTAAATAATTTGTATTTTAAGATGCTTGGAGATACAAAAAAAAAAAGAGAGAGAGAGACATAACCAAAAAAGACACTGAGAAAGACATGGGGACACACAGGGACTCTTTGTATGCACTTATAATGAAGGGACCTTCAGTGCTTGGAGCATAACTCAAAAACAAATGATCTGTTCAGAGAGAGATTCCAGACGGCGATAACATGAAGGGCATTCGCTGGACTAACTCTAAGGGCTCATTTGTGAGGCAAATTGTTTCCATTCAAGAAGTCTGAGAGACTCTGCATAGATTAAAGAACACCACGAGGAAGATTGGCGCAGTGGTGCATGCTGTGTAACAGTAGCACTCCACCCCAAGAAGCAGAATGTTTTCTTTGTTTTTCTGCTCTGGTCAGGGCCTGTCTGGTCATCAGTTCAGCTATGTTGAATAGGATGAATTACAAATCCTAATTGGGGAAGAGGCTTTTCAGACAGGCTCTATAGAAGACAACGAGATCAAGTTTAAATGATAAACAATAAGCAAAAGGGTTTTGGTTTCCGATCACGTTCAGTAAACAGTGTGGCCCCGATAGTATTCACGATAAACAGCTGTAACAACTAACTTTCAGTTTAACACAATAAATAGTTTTGAAAGATTAAAATGCAGTAACTGCCTTTATCTCGTTATAAACGCCTTAAGCATGCACATAAACACAGCCCACAAAGAGGGGAGGGGATATGTTGGATAAGGTATGGCCACACCCAGAGCAGGCCATAAGGGCAGGATCTAACAATATGCTATGTGGACAGGTCTAAACTGTAATGTAATTTAAAAAAACACACAAAAAACCACATTGATGTTGATGTGGTTTCTAATGGTAGGTAGGGAATTTTTTTTTTTGTATTGATCCTAGTATTGATCCATGTAGATGACAGATAATAGATACGGCCACCTGTTGAGAAGCGGAAAAAGTGAGGCAATGTCTGACTATGATGCTCCACCCTTCAGAGAGAGCTGGTGGGCATGTTGGAGCAGTATTGTAAGCAGGCAAAGGATTTCCTAATTCCTCTGCCATGTTCAGTGAGGACGTATACACATAGCTAACACTGCACACTACAGGCTTTCTTCTACACCTTATTGTACATGTGCAATTTAGACTTTAAAACTATGTTTGCTTTTCCTGTCAAACGGAGTACCACTGAGTTCTCACCTGGTGTATTGACTCTCCAAGTTTGTGTAACGACTTCAGCTTGAACTACTGAAAAAAAAAATCGACCTCTTAGAAAACTGTCTCTCTTCAGTGGTGACCTCAAGCAGCACTAGTGGCTGTTCATTCCAACCAATAAACATCACAAATTCACTTTTATCTATAACTGATGGCCATTTGATTAAACTCAAAATGTGTGCCTTACTGATCTGATTGTTTCAACAGGAAGCAATAGTCGCTGTCATTTCAGATGGAAATTTCAATCTTGCCCTAGTGTTTAATGTAAGGTTGTTAAAAGTATCAATACTTTTTTACGTATCTTAAATAATACAATACTTTCATCTGATAGTATTGAACGTACCAAAGCTATAAAAAAAACAGATCTACAATCAGATTTTCCAGCCAAGGCTGCACAGATGGAGCAATGTGGAAGAAAATCAACTGGTCCTCAATATGTGTTCAGTGACTTTTTCTGTGCCAGCACTGTGCATAGGTCTTCCTTTTTTTTTGCTTGTGGTATTGAAAGAGGTATCAGATATCTTTTTTTTTTAATACTAGTATTATATCAGAGTTTAAATTCTGGTACTGTGACAACCTTAGCTTTGTTATTTTAGCTATTTTCTGCTTTAACATACATTACATAACTTGCCTTCACCCAGTACATGTACACTTACGGCTTCAGTGTGGATGGGATGCACAGCAAACAGCAACGCTGCCACCAAGCTGGAAGTCTTGTCCAGGAACAATCGGCACACTCGCAGGAAAAGCACACATACTACAGCATGTAAAACAACATTGAGCAGGTGGTAGGAAGTTGCGCTCAGCTCACTGAAGAGGTAGTTCAGTCGGAAGGTGAGTACAGTCAAGGGTCGGTAAGATTTATGGCTCCGCTCCTGTAGTTGGACATACACAAAATACATGCTGTCAGATACAGGTCAATTGACTGACTGAGAGACATAAAAGAGTAACAAATGTTTACTGAATTCAGAGTAACCTTAAGGTCAAGGTAATCTGAGGAGGTTGCCATTGATTCTCTTAAAAGTTTCACTCAACCTACAAAACATTTCATTGAAATAAATAAGACTGCCCCTTGATACCACTTTGACTTTTAGCAATAATAAGCCCGTACTGATGAAGCACAGAGGTGTGTCTGACTAACCTCAGCCATGGGTGTTCCCCAGAAGTCATTGAGGAATAGGTTGCGCAGAGGGGTTGAGGGCCGCAGGTCCTTGTTGTCAAGGATGGCTGAGACATCATCAAACACAAATCCGCATGACAGACTGTTCCAGTAACATCCCACCACCAGTCCAGTCAAAAGTAAAATCTCCTTCCATGACACAGCAGCCATGGCTCAACAGAGCCGTCATTGATCACTGCACAAGAACACAAAGAGGTTTTATTTACAACATTAGCTGCCACCAAGATGTAGAAAAAGTAGCTTTATTATACAGATTCATTGGACATTTTCAAAGCAGCCACTCATTCGTACTAACAATGCCGGAGGTGGGTGTGGTACGTTTGTAAAAACAACCTCACACAGTAAGAAAGTTGGAATTAGATTTATGAACAATTGTGTGTTTCTTCTCATCTTCTTTTACTTCCTTGTCACAGCTCACAATACTCACTCAGCTCTTATAACCCGCCACCCTGTTTTATTGATTGGGATGTGGATTATACTATACTAACACTTAAATGAGCCTACAAGTAAGAGTACGGGAGGGAATATTAGCTCAGATGTGGAGAAACCGGTACATGAAGGGCGGACCTTAACAGAAAACTAAAATCATTCACAGTAAATATTGGCCGCTTTAAACAGTTGTCGAGTGGCAGCCTTTGGTTAAATGAATGAAATCAACATGACTATTGCAGGATCGTGGCAAAATGAAAGTACAAAGAGCCCCAAATAGCATGCTCCGACAGTTTCAGACAGGCAGTTCAACATAACGCTGGGTAGCGAGAAAGCTAATTTAGCAGCTAACGTTAATGCTAACCAGAGCGGCACCAGTCTTTAGACCACAGAAGGTGGATGCAGATGTATTTTTGGGTATTCCCTGAACGTCCTACCTACCGTGTCTATAACAGGGCAGGCGGTGACAGCAGAGGTGATATCAAAAAAGTGGGAATGGTTACACATACGGAGTACACAATTCAGTAAGCGGCACTCGTGTGCTTGTGGAAGCTAAGTTAGCTGCTTCAACACAGCGGGACAATCACTTCCGGTGCAGGGGTGAGCCAACCGTTACAGTGAGCTAACCGTTGGAGTGAGCTAACCGTTACACTCGGTGCTTTTATTCAAACTCCAGTGTATGCGCTCAACACCAGATGCAATAGATTGGTGACGGTACTTTGTGGTAGTCTAATAGCCGCCTTGTCTCTACAGTTGGGTAAAGTTACCTGCGAAGGTCCCCTCGCCGCTTTGTACTAGTTGTGTTTTCTTGTGGACTATCTGAGTCAGCTAACTGGCGCTGTTGTTGTCAGCGGTAACCTAGCAGCCAAAGCATCCCATCATGGAAACCTCTGGATGACTGTTTACTGCCATTATAACTGACCTGTAGCCTTTATTCTTAATCTTACTGAGCGATGTGAAACAATATCAGATATTAGTTTTGAACGTTCAGCTTATTTATCAATCACAGCGTCTAGCTAGCTCATTTATATAAACGAGTGAAGTTTGTTGGTTTCCCAATTTCTTGTTGTAACGTTAGTTTGTGGAAACCGGTTAACGCACAGCATAACGCTAGTTACCAAAACTAAATCCCAAATGTACGTTACCAGGCTAAACTAATTTTACTTTAGGGTTCAAGCGAAACAATGCCAATTTTGAGGAGCACATCGATGTTTAGCCATAGCTTCCTAACTATAATGAGCTAGCTGGCTAACACTAAGTAAGTGCTCCATTCCTGGTGAAGTCTTCACAAACACGCTATGGCCAAGATGCCTGCCGCTCTTGAGTGGGATAAAGTGATGAAAATTAACCCGGTGAGCCTCCAGGACTGTGAAAAAGACCAACTGGACGAGCTCTTCGGCATGTTCATTTCGGTAACTGTCCACACTACACACCAGTATTAATTACACCTCATATTTCTGCTCAGTAGCCCAACCACCAATCCTCCTCTGGTTTTACATTTCAGCTTGAACACAGTCGTGCTGTGTATACTTAGCCATGGTTCTGGCTACTTGCACAAAGAAAGATTACTGTCGTGCTGATCTGAGATTATTGTTCAGGGTATTAGAACTCCTTGCTCAATGTCTTTGTCAGCAAAACGTAGTTAATCACATTGTTTTGCTTTGATCTCTCACATAGTAGCCATACATCTGCATAAAGTCCTTGTTGAACTTAATGCAGGTGTAAAGTGAGTGCTGTCATCTGAAATTTGAACAGTACAAGAAAAACTTACAATTTAATATAGCAGGGGAATATTATTATTATGAATTATTATGAGATTGAATGACTATGGATTTTTATTTTTCATAATAAATGATGTTTTCCATGCAGACAGAAGAATGGCTGTTGAAGGATAAAGCGCCGGAGGACATTGTTCAAGTCCTCAGAGTGTTTCAGGCTCTGCTGAAGGTTTTTATTGTCATATCATAATCTCTTCCAGGCACCATCTGTTCTAATGTATTCCAATAAGCAATACTTATTATTATATAATTCACATGATACTGTTTTGGTGGCATGTGCTTCTTGAAATATTGCAATTCAAATCATTTAGGTTCGTCATGTTGTGCATAATTGTCTCCTCTCCCTCTGTCTGTTAGATGAAGGAACTGGAACTTGATCTTTCCTTCAACTTCATCGACGACATTGGCGTAAAGCATGCTAAAATTGGTTAGTGCCCAGATAAAATGCAGTTGTCAAAATGTGTCATATGTTTAAGTTTAGCAAACAAACAGTGGCGTTAACATTGTTGATCATGTCTTCTGTACTGTAGAAAAGGAACTCCTCGTTAAGGTATCAAGGCTGGAACAAGAGTACAAGGTAACACTTTTCAGGGGTTAGGGGTTATATTGGTCTGTTATTTCGTCCAGCACTTATGTCACATGTTACTCACTGAGCTAATGAGGTGTTCTGGTTAGTCACTGGGATGACTGCCATTACCTTTATCAGTGTGAAAAAAAACATCACTGTGTCTGACTGGAAATCATCCTCCGTGCTGCTTTACTTCCGGCAACAGTGCCAAATCCTTCAGCCAATCATAGAGTGTAACCCCAGCTAGAAAGGGATTGGTTGTGGTGACCACTGAACAGCACCTAAGAAGATTACAGCTAATTCCTCGCATGCTCACATCCATTACGTCTAGTTTCAACTTGATTATTATTTTCATTTTTTAAGTTTTGTATGTAATCAGAACTTGCACTGTCACAGTTTTCCCTGCAAAGAGAATGCTAATCCTTGTTTAAGGACTCGTTAATGTAAGTGTATGCATATATTGGTGTTGTGAACAGATGGAGGTGATGGGAGACTAAGAGGTTTCTTGATGGGGGTTGTTTGGGTGTTTGTTTTGTTTCCGGTCCATACGGCTCAGCACTGCGGCACAGGGCCAGACACCCGCTTTCTGAGAGATGAGATTCGGCAGCTCGAGAACCAGCTGGAGCAGAGGGAGAAGGAGTTGACCCAGTTAAAGAAAGAAATGGAGAAAGAGAAGAAAACAAAAGGGGAGGTATGAGCATGTTACCCATAATTCACATGCACAGCGTAGGACTATGGATTCAGTATTGAGTCCTTGGTTGACCTACAGATATTAATTCATTACTTGGCACACACTGTGTTGACATTGTGCTGGTATGTCCTTAGTACATGCTATAGAAGATTTATATTTATTCATTTTTATATTGAATATTAAGTAACAGATATTCCTTAAAAAACAACATTTTGTTAAATTCAGAGGTTCGTTAGGAGTATGACATTTTTCAGTTCTTTGACTAATCTTTAGTTGTACTCATCTCTCTAGTCATTGTCTACCTTAAAGCCACTTTCCATTGATTAATACACAGGTCAGTACACTGGAGCAGGGTTGCTGCCAAGAGGCTACTGTAGATGTAACGTGTTTATTGTGTATCTGGTGTGGTTAAATTCACACTGTGTTTCAGCATTTTGTGCTCTCTGTTTGGTTTTCCTAGTTGGTGGTTCAGGCAGAGGAGGCTGAGGAAAAGGTCAAGAAGCTGAAAAGAGAGGTATGTGGCAGCTGGCACGACATCGTGCAATATGTGCAATATCTTTTCATTCATCGCTTCATCTTCCGTCAGTACATCTTTCTTCGGTTACTTCGGTAGTCTCCTGTGCTCTGCCGTCATTTTCTCATATGGATGCTTTCTCAAATTGCATCATCTCTTTTCATCTCTATCTCTTCCACTGCCTTGGATAAAAAAGCTTAAGAAGAAGAAAGTAAGAAATATAGGTAGTAAAGTAAAATGTTGCAGTTAATCTAAATAAGTATGAGTTTGATGTGCTTCAGTAGTGTTTGTAGTTATAAAGGTTAAAGTGAGTACTACCCTAGTATTTTAAAATGTCTCTACAGCTGGTCACAGAGGCTGCGTTCATACTGCAGGCACAAGTGGCCTAAATCTGATGTTTTTGCTCATACACTCCTGAACAAAATCTTAAGACCGGGGGAAAAATTACGTATTAAGTATTCGCATTTCGCGTTGGTGGAACATAACCAGGTTGT